AGTGGCTCTGCAGCAGGTTTACTCGACATTGAGAAACGGCCATAGAGTTTACACGGAGCAGATTTGTCACAAAATGGGTAGAAAACTCCCCAAAGTTCACTAGTTTAACTTTGAAATATCTATAAAACGTAGCGCAAAAAGGTGGGTTTGGTTTTCGTTTTTTGCTGAAGAGCAAAATCACCCGACTCGCCCAGACGGCTATAAACCTCTCTGGAACGTAGAAGCACCAATCACTCGACTTTCTTTCAGCAAAAAAACATTAATCAGACAGACAGAGAAGATAATTGCACACCATACTCCCTTTGAATTTTGAATAGTAGCTCCTTTGCACACTGAATAGCTGCAAGTTCTTCTTTGTATAGCAGCCATCCTCCTCTATTATAAGTATACACTCAAGCGTGTGAATAGATGTGTCATGTATACGCCAATTTAAATGCACACATGGTCTCAGGCTTTTGTTAATTCATCGATGTTGTTCACGGAGAAGCCTTCTGTGAAATAGTCGACACAAAAACTTTATTCTCTGTGTATCTTCAACAATATTTAATCAGTCACGTACAGTTGATACATGCTTACATGAATAGATGAGGCATAACATTATCCTCCTTATGAGACTGCTACATACTGAATAATCTAATCCCTTTCACTTCGCACCAATGGCCCAAACTACGGCAACAGCATTGTAAGATAACATGATGGCAGTACTAATAGAGGTTTTCTGTAACTGTCCAAGTCTGTTCATATTTTATTTTCCATTAAACAGTCTTTAAACACTGCCAGATCCCACCATGTTTCTGTTAGTGTTCCTGTCGGTCTTCTTCTGCTGTTCCTTTTAGTATTTAGGCAAGGCAAGTTTATTTATATAGCACCTTTCAGCACACGGCAACTCAAAGTGCTTTACAAAATAAAATACCTTTAAGAATAAATACAGTAGAAGCACATTGTAAAATGGCATTTAAAAACAGGCATTCAAAAAACTTCCTGTCTTCCTGTTAGTGTTTACTTCCTGTCTGTCTTCTTCTGCTGATTTCTCTGACGTCCAACACTCTGTCCTTTTTAACCTCTTTCCTTCTCTTGCGCAGTTTCTTTTTCTTTACTGGGGACAGTTAGTTATCACAAATCCACATTTTTGTTCTTTTTTTCAATGACCAACTATGAATCAATGTATCCTACTCAAAAAGATAAGGTGGATACTGTATGTCTTCATCTTGGTTTCCATAGAGCTACATTGTTCATGTAGACAGACATGAAGTGGACGCTAACAGGAACAGAGTATGGTCTCTGGGCATTATGGCATTGTTCATAATGGAGGCTGTGGCTCAGTGGGTGTTAGTACACTAATCCACTGAACTGTGGGGATTGAGTATTGAGTATTGAGTGTATGCTTTGGGTAAAAGCATCTAACAAGTGACATGTTATTGGTTAGTCTTCGAATAACAATGTAGCTCTATGGAAACAAAGATGGAGACATATCATCCTTATTTTTTCAGTAGGATACACTGGTCCATAGAAAAACGTTGGATTCGTGATGGGTAAATGTTTTCGTAAATTAGCTCTTCTTTTAGAGACGAGCACTTACCAAGATAAGAAAAAACATTTAATTTTTTTACTGTCCATTCATTCTTTGTCCAAAGCAACAACACTTGAAATCTGAGGAACATGCAAAAAAACAACTCAATGATAACATCTTATCAAATGTAGATATTGGCAACTATTGGGCTCTGACCTTACACGCTCTAGCAAAACGTATAAGCTGATCTGTGATAAGCCCAACATTTCATCCATTACAGACTACAGAAGTCTCTTTAATGGAAGCTTATGTCACGATGGGAAATGGGTGGGAATTGTAGATGATGCAAACATGTACGCAAACAAAGAAAATGTAAATTATTGCTTTATTGTGATGACCATGAAGGGAAACCTTTGTGGAAGGAGGGCATGAACGCAAAGTTATATCAGAGAATAGATTAGCTCCAACCTTGTGTGCACTAAAGACAGCAATGATTTTTTTTCTTTTCAAATATGATGTTTAGCAAATGACAGATGTTGTCCTCGATGTTAAGTGTATTCAATTTCATGAATTAATCTAATAAGGACTTCAATTGTGCTTGCGTCAATAAGAGGAAATCAAAGCCAGCGAAAAGCGTTGATAACCCTGAAGCAAATGATCTGGGGTGATTTGAAATACAGGAGAAGAAACCTTTATTCCAATATGTTACCTTGCTTAATCAAAACTATGTTGGGCAAAATGGCACAACATTGAACTTCACCTCCTGGAATGAGCGATTAAAAAATAAATGTTCCTACACACAATCTCTCGCCTGCTCTCGTGTCCTTCGGTTTTGTAGTACATTGAGTCCTCAGCTGCTATTCCGACAGCCAAGGACACAATTCATGCTCTGCAAGTTTGCCATTTTATAAAAGACTAATAATTGGGGAGCGGGGCGTGAAGTGGCCCTGATCTGCTTCGTGAAAATGTGTATTTGAAGATTACGAGGTTGCATGACGTTGCTGTGTCTCACAAAAATCAAATGTATTGCTGTGGATTGCCTTATAAATCCTTAAACTGTGTTTTTCTTTCCTCTTAGCATTTCATTTACTGCACATTAACGGTTTATATACTTTAAAGAGGTATGCTCAGATATATTGCTTCCTAATCTCATCTCTAGGATTGTCCCAGCAGGTGGGGGGGGGGGGGGACGTCATGAAACGCTGTACAAGAGGGTCATGTAATAGAGAGGAAAAACAGCAGATTATGTGAGACAGAGAGATGCTGGCATGTTGTGTGGCGCGGAAGCATCATCACGTCACAGAGGGTCTAATCCTCTGATGACATCCTCTGGCAGAAAGATTTTGATGTTGGCCACAACCCAATAATCTGCTGGCATGTGTTCCTATGTGGAACAAATGAGATTGGAGATGGCAGATGAATGAGAGGATAAACTCTGGCTGTAATGGAAGCTGCAACCTCCGGGACTGAAAAATGAATCCAACACAGAAGTGTGAGATATTAAAGGTCACCTATTATGCAAAATCCACTTCTCCATGTCTCTTCTACATCAACATGTGTCCCCTCTGTGGAAAGAGACTCTGAAAGTTTCAGGAAAAAAGATTCTCTCTCTTTTGGTCCTGATCCATTTCTATAAAAACCTGTTTGAAAATGAGCTGATCAGATTTTGGCCACTTTATGATGTCATAACGATTTGTTGGCTCGTGTAACCATTAGCCAATCACCAACCAAGGTGATGGAGATGAAAGCAGCCTGGGTACGAAAGACAGAAAAGAAGCATTGGAAATTGTATACATCTATACTTAAGCTAAACTAAGATTAAAGACTAGCACAGTAGGTAATACAATTCATCCGGCATAGTAGGGTCATGGAACAAATCTAACATTTCTGATTGATAGATGCATTTTAGAGTTTTGGTCAGATTTCTGTCTGGATTGAGACCACATCAGAGCACCAAGTAGGTTATAATAGGGTGTTGCTGATTGTATATAAACATTGTCATCTCAGATTCTGGTAAAACATCCCTTTTGAAACTGTTGCCCACAAAGTATTTCTAAACAGACTTGAAAAGTAGGTAAGATGTTCTGGTCAAATTGTGAGTTGGATGAGATCATATCTCAAAGGAAGCTGTATTGTTGACATTTGTGTTCATGAGTCTGAATGGGTCAAGGAGTCCCCCAGGGCTTGAGTTTTGGGCCACTTTCATTCAACCTGTGCCAGACCATATGAGAGAAGTTGAGGGTAGTAGACTGTTAGTCCTCAAGTCCAGGCTTGATTTTATTTATCTTAATGTATTCTTTCATAACATTGCCACTCCTTATAATTGCCTCAATTGTGCTTTAAAAATACCTTCCTTGTCTTGAGGTCTATTCCTTCCTTGTCTATTAGTCATCAATATAACATAGCGTCCTTGGTGAAGACTTTATTTGTGACATCCTGTGTGACTCAGTTGTCAGTGTCACTGTGCTCAGCTGTGATGAAGTGTTGATGGGCCAAGGTGCCACTTCTCTGAAACACATTGACACCAACACACTCATCACCATCATCCGGTAAAAATACAAATATATGACACATGTAATAGTTTCAAAGGACAGTTCATCTCTGTATTCTTAAGAGTAACGACCATGGAAAAGCTATCGTTTTCTATGCTTGATTTCTTCCTCCGAGATTACTTGAAAAGACTCATTTATTATCAATGATCTCTATTGATTGTGTCTGCACTACTACTTTTGAAATAGAGAGTTTAATTATGTGTGTATAGATCCATTGAGATATTGTGAGAAATGAGCAAACCACTAAAAATGTAATCTTGAAAGACATTTCCAAAACAAGTGTTTAGTGTTGGAGTACATGTATCTAGTGGATACCTTACCTGCATTACTGCCATTAATTATTACACTTTCTGTGCCTCTTCATGGAAAAATGTGCTTCTGAAGACACCTACCTTAGAGGGAAATACCACAGAAGAAGTTAAAAGACTTTGCCAGGTGGTAATTTGTCTGTTTCAGGACCTATTTTGTCACCGCAACTTTGCAGGATGATGAAGTCACAGAACTTTACAGATGTTTAGTTGAGATCAACACAAAGGTTGAGTTTAAAGACAGATGTGGTAAGATTGCAAAATAGTTTCCATTTCTGTATTTAATCTGGTTTTGTTTTTATTCACCTTTTAATAATGTCTGTACTTGTAGTGCCCACGCTATGTGTTTTTGAAGTCACAACATTCTGCTATACTGTATGTACTTGCATGTCTACGTGACAAATATGAATCTTGAATCCTAAATACAATTTCTTTTCAGGAGTACAGTGGCCTCAGAAATGGGATTTATTGTTGAGAAAATCATTGAATGTGGGTTTGAAAAGGATGTTTTCAAAACAGTGGCCTTGGGATCTAAAAAGGTGAAGTGGAAAATATAAAGATGGTATGGATTTTACAGAATTCCACAGTGAGCACGGCTGCACTCATCTGGAGTGGGATACGTGTTTCAATATAAACGTACGGCAGTGGTTATTGTCATTAAGATGTTTACCTTGGTCTTTGTCCTGCTGTTTCGACGCTCCTGTGAGGCGATGCTGGTCTGAGTGAGTCACAGAGTTACTGAATGGCGGGCTGGGTTTATAAACCTCCGTGAGGGAGTTTGAAGTCCACTTGTCCCTGCGATCCGTCACGTAGGCACATCAAACAAGGTCCGACAGCTTCAGAAACATCACTTTTCACCATGGAGTGCACGGGAGCGCAGAGGCAGCTCTTCATCATTAAATCCTTCTTCCTCTTGCTCTTCACTCTGTTGTTGGTGTCCAACGGGTCTTCAGCAGTCATCACGGGGGTAAGTGGAGCAAACAGGTAGATAGGCAAGGCAAGTTTATTCATATAGCACCTTTCAACTTTCAATTTCAAGGCAATTCAAAGTGCTTTGCAAAAATGAAAGACATTAAGAAAATGGCATTTAAAAACAGTTATTAAAAAGCAAAGATAATAAAGTAAACATTAAAAGTCAAATACGTACATAGGGGCATCTTAACTCTAATCCCAGGGCAATGGGAAGCTCTCAATGGTGTATTATGGGAACATGCATGCTTTTCCAACTGCTGTTCTCATAGTGGAAAATGTTTCATATTTGTTTGTATGAAAGGCAAAAATATAATATGAGTTATTACCATCAAGAATAGTGTTTTTTTTATTTTAAAGATTGACAATTCAATTGGATTGGATTTTTATGAAGAATATGAATTATTTTTTGGGTAAATCTGTATAGGTATTTTTTTTTATTGTGGTTTTAATATTTATCTAAGTAAAAATATAAACATTTTATTCCGAATGTTTTATTATAGAGTGAAAATGCTTGACTTTTTTTCCGAATTTCTGTAACAATAAATTATAGTAATTCCTCACATCAGGCATTTTTGATATTCGAAAAGCATGAAGGGCTATTCATATAATATAACATTATAAGTGCAGCATATCAATCAGTTTCTACAAAAATACATCATTTCATTACAACCATCCAGGTAAACTTATCTTTGAAGTATTTCCATAAAGGATTTCCATAATTCTGCGAGCGTAAATCACGGACATAACCTTCTAATAAATCAGCCGTCCCTGTCACTACAGCCCTCTGTGTGCTGATGTGAGTGCACAGAGGAGCGGCCATAAAACAGACATTCATTCTCATCCTCGCCTGTCACATGAAATAATTTCTGTTCCTCTCCATCATCCTGTGTGTTCCCTTCATGTCATCCAAAGCGAGAACCGTAATTCAGCTTCTCGTGCAGACCCTCAACAATCAATCACCTGCAATCCTGACGTGTTTTGTTGATGTATGATACGACTAATGGAGCACTAATATCCTCTCATTAGCATAATATACTGTCAAGGTAACACCAGCGTTGCTTCTCATACATATCTCACACATTCAAAGCTTACACCAACATTACCTGCATTTTCCAGTTGATATACTAATGAGTGTTGTATCATTAATTTACATACATGCATTAGAGCATTACATACACAACTTGCATGTGTATTTGTCAAACTACTTTCAATATAGTAAGGGTGAAAAAAGGGTAACCAAAAAATCGAAAATGAGAAATGTTAAAAAATAATTGAGTATGTTAGTACGTTCATTTGTAGGCTGCATTAATTAGTAGCTGGAAATTATGATTAGATTCAAATTACGGTGGCAAGTTATTTCATGTCCATAAAACTAATCAGTCTTTTCCTCTGCATAATACGTCTTAAATATGCCTAATTAAATCCCAGAATATTAACCGTGTGTGTGTGCGTGTGTGTAGGCCTGTGAGAAGGACTCTCAGTGTGGAGGAGGGATGTGTTGTGCGATGAGTTTGTGGATCCGTGGCCTCCGTATGTGCACGCCCATGGGACAGGAAGGAGACGAGTGTCACGCCATGAGCCACAAGGTGAGGTCGTCGTCTTTGATTTCTTTCCGTACAGTTCTGCAAGAGGCCAAACATAATCCCAATGTGTCTCGATTTCTGTGTCCAGGTTCCTTTCTTTGGGAGGAGACTCCACCACATGTGCCCCTGCCTGCCCAACCTGTCGTGTCTCATGTTAGAGGGCAGATTCAAATGTCTCTCACCGTACCAGTTTCCAGATATCTACCTATGAAGACTACCACTCAGTTACTTTATCTCTACTTGCAATGTAACTATCTGCCTTTGAAGTCCTGTTTGTTTGTTTCTTAATTTATTTTGAATAAAGAGATATATTTAATAATGCATCATCATTTTGGCATCACCATCGCTAAGGTAAATGTGTATTCCTGTTGGCGTGATTACAGTGCGTTTAGTAGTTAAAGGTCCCCTATTATACTGTTTTTCATCAATATATTATAGGTCTCAGATATATACAAACATGTCTCTGAAGTGTTTGGCTCCAAACACCAAGCAGATCATTGCAGCATTACCCATAATCCCCTCTGTTTCAGCCCTGTTTCAAAAGTGCTGATTCTCTGTTTGTTACTTCAGATGAAAATAAGGAGCCCCTCCCCACGCCCCTCTGAGAGAGATTTGGTTACAAAGAATCAGAGTTGGGTGCATGCCCGGCGCCGTGGGAGGGCCAGGGAGGGCCAGGCCCTCCCATTTGACATTCCTGCCCTCCCCCAATAAACACGTTTTTTTATTATTTATAAAAATTAAAAAATATATATATTTCATTTTTTTAATTATAAATAAACTGTGAACTTTTATGCTACGATGTATGTGATGTCAGAACAACAACAACAAATCGCAGGCTACGTCAAATAAATGCATGTGTCTGTTGTGATTCGTCCCCATTTAGACCAATCACAGCGTCACACTCTGCCGCCTATTCTGGATTTGTTTATTGTGCATTCTGTAGACTCCCATTTCTGTTTGAATTACAAAATGGACATAACAAATTGGCTTAAAAGGTCTAAGGATTTATTCAAACGAAATAGCGATGAAAGAACTGCAGCCGATGGTGCTGCTGGCGACCCTGCACCTGCCATTTGTTCTGGCGCCGGGTCTGGTTGGGTGTAACACGTTACAAAGTAACGCGTTACAAAGTAACGCGTTACTGTAATAATATAACTTGTGTCGGCAACGGAGTAGTGTAACGCGTTACTTACTTACTATAATTCAGTAATCGCGCTACAGTTACTAACATTGCCCCGACACGCGTTACTTCGTTACTTTTATAAAATAATCACACTCACTGACAGACAAGAGGGATTTCCGCCGCAGGTTTATATACATGTAGGCCTATGTAATCTGCGCGATTTGCGAGACCACATCTCCACGTGCAGTGCTGCATAAACATGGCTGAGTCTTCTCATCTGTAAACTCCCTCAACGGGCCGCTCGCTCTCTTTTGTTGATCGCCCTCTCACGGGTGAACAGTTCAATGTCCCGCTTCATTGTAGGAATTCTGCCATGTCTCTACCACTTTAGTTTGACCATCTCTGTTACTAAGTTATGGAATACTAAATAAATAAGTAATTAGATACCTTACCGTTACTGCGCTCATAAAGAATGATAAGAATAATGCGTCTTGAACTGGTTTCATTAATTAGTGTCTTGACGTTTCACAGACTGTTAGCTTGTTGTGTGGCTGGTAGCCTATTTTAGAGCATAAAGAAAGACTTGTGTTATGTCTTCCTTAATGCAATAGTAATTGGGGTGCAAGTGGAGTCTCGCAGAGGCAAAACTGTGGCGCGCTTACACTGTAGGTGCGCCGCAGTCTGCGTGATCTGCCTGTAGGGAGGGGCGGGCCGGCCCTGCGAGTAAAGTAACGAGTTACTTTATGTAGAGAGTAACGAAGTAGTGTAATATATTACTTTTTAAAAATGTAATATGTAATATATTACAGTAACGACCCCATCTCTGCAAAGAATACAATGGTGCTCTAAGAGGAGATTCAGGTGATAAGGGGGGGGGGGGGGGGGGTTACCTTGGTTGCTGATTGGCTAATGGTTACACAAGCCAAAAAAATCGTTGTGACATCATTAAGTGGCCAAAATCTGATCAGCTCGTTTTCAGACAGGTTTTTATATAAATGAATCAGGACAAAAAGTGAGAGAATCTTTGTTCCTGAAACTTTCAGAGTCTACATGTTGATGTAGAAGAGACATGAACAAGTGGATTTTGCATAATAGGTGACCTTTAATTTAGTCACTTGTTAGCAATTGCAGATTAACGCATAAAAGCTTTGGACATTCACAAGGGAAGTATTGAGTTGTGTGTTGTGGAACAAAACGTGACGATCTCTTCAGCTTGTGTTACACAGACCTTATTCAGGACTCTCACCACACACACATTCAAAAACGAAACGACGGTACCATAAGTAAAATGCTATGTAATTTCCGGGTTTTAGGACTGATAACTTCACCACTCTACCTCAGCTCGCTCTATTTTTGTTACACAATTGAAAATAAATGTTTTGCTATGTGTGACACAGTGACTGATGATCCAAAAACGAAAGTATGAGGCTCAAAGTGAAATATTTCTCTGACTAATTTAGCGTCCGAAGGCTTCTAAAACACTCAGAACTTGCACTTTTCAAGCTTTAGGAATGGTGCCTCTGTTTATTTCTTTTCAACCATTAGACTGTGTCATAGTAATCTGTAGTAGCAGAGTTTTTGGTGAGCTTCTATGGAAGCCCTGACTTTAGAGCAAGCATTCAAAAGGAAGCGCACAATAATATATAGCGTGGCAAAATACCAAGTAGACTAAGTAAGCGTCAATTCCTGCCTATAGAATGCCTTCAATATGGACACACAACATTTCCTAACCTCATCAGGTGATATTGTTTCCCAAAAAAACTACATTTTCAATTGTACAAATTGTATTTTAGGAAAACCCAATGGGAAGTACAGAGGTCAGTGTAATTACTGAGCGGTTAGAAAGACCGAAAAGGTCAATAAAAACAGCCAGCAGTAAAAGCCTTGGTAAAAATTGAATTTAGCCAGCATCACAACGGAGCCTCGTGCCCTGAACACAAGATGATGATCCAAAAATACCCGAGCTGCATTCACATTGCATGAGAGAACATGCAGGTGAGGGACAATTATACCGTGAGACCTCTGCACGCCGACAGCAGAGCAAAACCATCTGTCAGGAACACGCAGGCACGTTGTGATGCCAAGTGTTGAGGATCTGGGCGTTGGACGGCAGATCAGAGAGAAACACCTCACAGTGATTAAAGTGTGCACTGCTCTGCCTTTTAAAGCTGTGGTTTGGTGTAAATGATGCAAATATCAATTAATGCAGCAGCAATTAGCTGAATCAATAGCTACAGGTTTAAGAAGGGAGGAGAGGATTGGAAGTTTGATTAAAACAGTCGCCACAGAAAAAAAGTAATTGAAACAAATGAAATGAACCCTTTAGTTGGTGCTTTGTTAGGAGGTGGAAATCAGAACTTTAACTCTTAACTTTAAAAAGGTATACGTATAGGTGCAATTCAATAGAACATTGTTTTACAATGTGTGTAGCCCAGTGCAAGAAGTTACAAGTTAGTCTAACGGCCTGTCCACACTACAGCTTCAAAAAAAGCTTGGAGCTGGGCGTGTCTGAAGCTCGACCAACAACCAATCACATGAATCTCCCGCCCCTGACACACAAGCAGCGGTTTTGATTGGCTAGAGCTTGTACTGGCATATGATTTGACTGGCTGACACTTCCACCGAAAGCTTCAGAAGCTTCAAAAGTTGAACATTGCTCAACTTTTGCAGCCTGAAACGCCAGGAAAGCTCCGCTCTGCTTCCCACAATGCAGTTCGGCGAAAAGTGACGTCACCCCATTCAAAGTGAATGGGCAGACGCGTTGGAAACCGTTTTTGAAGCTGTCGAAGCTGTAGTGTGGACGGGCCGTAATGTGTTCTTTATGGCAACGGCCCTGGGTTTGAATCCAACCCCCTCCTTTTCTATACCTTGGCACGTGGCTGTACAATCAATTATGGGAAAAAAAGGTTTAAACAAAAGATCTTCAAACAAGGAATATCACATTTAGAATCACAATATTGGTAAAGAAAACAAAACTGTTGCTATTAGATTTTTTCCACACACCGTTTAGAGCTACGCATAATTCTAGATTGTTTATCATTTTATATTTTTGCCTTTTTTTATTTAGGATTTTTGTTGAGTGTGTGTGAATAGGATTTTATTTGAGAAGCCAAACAAGTCATCACAACTGTGAGTAGAACAAAATTGAACGATAACGCGTTGGAAAAGTCTGTTAAAGGCTTGATGAAAACAAATGAAGGAAGCTGCCTCTCGTTAGTCTCAACTTTATGGAACTGCAACTCTAAATTGCTCTTGTGCCCTGTTACAACCTAACGCCTCAGAATAAAGACCAAGGATAGGACCTACGTTTGACCTGATAAGAGAAAATCAAAGATAACAATGTCTGTATTGATTGAGCAGCACTTTTTCAAACCTCAGGTGAACTTGATCTTTTTCTCAACAAGATAATCGATAACAATGTCTATCACCCTCTCCTTTTTAAAACCAGTGCAACAATATCACACCTGTTCTCATGGGGCTGTCAGGAAACAGAACACATTAGAAACCACTGACAAGACGGAGGGATTAGAGCTGGTGAGCAAGAAGAAGACATCTTATTAAAACAGATTATCAAGCCCAAAGAACATATCTTCATTTCTTATTTATTTGCTGAGAAATACAAACAATGCAAACATCCTTTCCAAAGCACCACATTGCTAAAATGTTTATGTGCATATCTGTAGAAAAGAATATAATTCAAGGATAACCCAACAGAACTGACCCATGAAGAAGAAGAATTTGCAAAATACCTTTTTTAAAGTGAGTTTTAACACCTTTTTAAACACAAGGAGTCCCAATGGATTAGGAAATATACCATCTGGTAAAAAAAAAGAAAAAAGCAGAAAGAATGATGGAAATGAGGCTATACAGTATTTACAAATGGGACACTTGCTGTCCTCATTAAAAAATATACTGAGATCTGTGTCTCATTTGTGGTATCCAAACGACTAGAAAGCCAGTGTGCCACAGAGAAACTGGCTCTGATCAGCTGATAAAAGAGCTCTGTTGTGTTTCAGTCATCAAAAGGCAAACGAGTGTGCCGGGATACAATTTGAAAATATACAAATAGCCAAAGTAACATTCATGTACAATATTGTTGTGGACCGATAAAGTTGATAGGACATGAAAAATAATCTCCAAAAATAGGACATAACATGACACAGAAGGCTACATGTCATACTTACCCTATATTTGGAATAAGTGTCACCTAGGGGAGAGCGGGCTCAGTTGGTACTTTTCCTCAAAAAGCATCTCTGCTCTTCACAATGCTCAGACGTTCACACTGGATGTAAAGTGGATTTTTTCCCATGGCGGGATTACATGTAAAGTAAATGCAAAGACGCCGATAGAAGCAGATTTGCAACGGAATTGCTAATAACGCTGCGCAATTTGCAAGAGTTCAATTTTTTCAACTTGAACAAGTCATTTGCGTGACGCTGTCTCACGCAAGCCAATCAGCAGTAAGAATCTCCGCCTGTATTCACTTCATGTCTATCTGACGTTATTTTGAGTATGGATGGAGGAGCAACATCGTTAGCTTAGCATGGCCTGATTAGCATAGCATTTCAAATGTTTTTTGCCTGCTGTCTTCAGATACACTTGCCAAAGCATTAATTCATGGTTTAATAACTCATTTGTTTAAGTGTGTAGTTACTTCGGCCTCATTCTGATATTGCGGAGTAAACTAAAATGATGCCGCATTAAAACTTGTGCGAGTTGGTAAATCTTTGCTTTGCGTCTGGTGTGAATGCATCATTCATTTGAGCATAAACGTCAATGTCCTCACATTTTAAAGACAGTTTCATAAATTGCAGCTTATAAAAGCCCATTTCAGATGTTAAGTGTGTCTGCTCTCTCAGGGATGGTAGAGGCATGTCCACAAATGTAATTGGGACTGTATTGTTTATAGTTTGTTTTTAATAACAAAAAAGACATGACATAAGGAGACCATAATGTTACGTCACTGACACAATGTTTACTCAAGTGGCAGCAATTGTTAGAAACCGTTATCATTTTTATTTTTCCCCAGAAGTTTTAAAGCAAATTATATTGTAAATATGAACTATGGTGTTCAAATTAAGACTGCACATTTGTATTTTTCAATTGTTTTGCCCTAAACAAGGTAACCTTTTACAAATGTGTGCCTTTCATGTTTGGTTGGGCATTAAAACACGTGTTTGATTGTCAGCAGGCACCAATATCTGTTTAAGCATTCAAATATTGTCATTATTGTCGAAGTAACGTATGAAATCAAAGTTATTTCGTGTAGATACATAAGTGTCCCAACTGACCCCGCTCTACTGTGAAGCCAATAAAACAAATGGCAAAGGGGATTGTTTTGAAAAACCATCAAATCATATGCTTTTTGTAGCTTTACTTTATATCACATTCAAGTTTTTGTCAGATTAAAAAAGCAAATTATATTTGCCATGAACAAAAAAAGCAATTAAATAAATATTAGAAGCAATGAGAAGTGGGTTCACCCTCCACATCATCCCTATGTATGTGTGTGTACAAACACATTTGGGGAGCAGTCTGCGTACATTCTGAAACAACATGTGTCTTTTTAAGTATTTTGGGGCCTCAGGTGACACAGTATGGCTCCATGGGAGTCTGTGTTCCCAGGCATGAGGGGAAACAGGCTCTGAGGCGCACCCGGAGCTCCTTGTTGAACAGGAAGCTGATGATGGGGTTGGCCCCCGCCTGGGCGAAGCTCATCCACACCGCAGCGCTCAGGTAGAGCTGCGGCACCGGAGCTCCGCGCACAAATATTCTCAGGTAACATGAGCTTATATAAGGAGCCCACAGAATGAGGAAGGTCAGGCTGATTATGTAGTACATCTTCCCAATCCGTTTCTCCATTTTAAACTCATCCAGCACCAGAAGCCTCCTGTTTCCGGGGTGAGAGGCTTGCCTGATCCCCACTAAGGTCGGCGGGGTTGGTCCTCGTCCGAATCCGGCTATCCAATTAGCGGCAGCCTGCCCGGTGGCCCCCGGTCCGTGGAAGGTCCAATTCTGACTGATAGCTGGCACCAACTGAGCTGGCTTCATTTTCCGGTGATCGTACACGAAGCACAGCATCTTCACGTACACCACATGCGTCGTGCCCACGATGACCGCCAGCATGAGCATGAAGCCCAGCGTGTCGTTGGCCTTCAAGTAGCGGTGCTCGAAGGTGCACTGCTCCTCCTCACGGATGAACTTGTAGGTGCCCACGTCGAACACCGGGGGGAACGCCATGGCCACAGAGAGCGTCCACACCATGCAGATCACCGCCGCGCACGTACACACATTCATCCGCTTGTAGTAGAAGCGGTGGTGGGCGATCGCCATGTAGCGGGTGACGCTGACGCAGAACAGCAGGAAGGCGACGTGGAAGCAGAAAAGCACCGACATGAAGGCGACCAGCTTGCAGCAGAGCGCGCTGTACGGCCAGGCTGACCCGCCGCTGATAGATGCCATGACGAAGGGGAAGCAGACGGCGGAGCGCACCACGTCCGCCAGGCACAGGTCCAGCAGGAAGAAGTAGTGCGCCTTGTGCAGGGAGCTGTCCTTCAGCAGCAGCAGGGACAGCGACGCGTTGCCCAGCAGGCTGATGCCCATGATCAGACCCAGGGAGGCCAGCTTGACCGCAGAGGCCGCGGACGCATAGTTGTGGAAGGACGGACTGCTGCTCTCTCCCAACTCGCTTGTGTTCGCCATCGAAGTCGGGTATTCGCACTTTATTCCCACATCACTTCAGTGTTAGTATACAGCAAATGATGAACAAAATAAACATCCATCCCGATCATCCCACTTCCAAAAAACAAAACATCTAATATTTCTTTTTCTTCTTCTTCTTGTCCTTCATCTCACAAGTGTCCTGCACATAACGCGTCCCTGTCTGTGGGTCCAGTCCCTGCGGAGTAAAGGCAGCTCGGGTTAGTTTTGTTTTGATACACCATCTCGCAAGGCTCAGCAGACAAGCGGCTCACAAAACCCCAGCCTCCTCTCGATGGCGGAGGGCTGCCTTTCGGCTCCGGGAATAAAAAAGCAGACAGTGTTGAGCGGAAGCATGGCGCAATTACGCATCCAAAGCCTCATTAAAAGGCAGGGAGGATAGGAGTTAAATATAGCCTAGGAAAACAAACGTGTTAGTAGGAAAAGAGTGGATCCGAGGCTCGCAGGATTGGGAGCGTCTGCGTGGGTCCATCGCTAGATCTCTGTCAGCGTCTGCAGACTGTAAGCGACGCACGTCCGCTTCCTGCATGTAGTGAGCAGGCCTGGGATCAGCCAAGAGGCTCTAATGCAATCCATAGGAAATCTGTCTCCATGCACAGGTGGACAGATTTCGTCGCAAAACATCTGATCACAGGCTACCAGCTAGGGAAATACTATGAAATATAGTTTTATATTTTATTGTATTGAAGTTTAAGGAGTAAGAGTAACTTTATTGTTCATGAATGTCAATAGTCTTAATTATTAATAGAAAACACATGAAACACAATAAGCTCGTGATTTTGAACCACTGAACATCTATTTAATAAAACTTAGAAAACACAGAGACCAAAACAATGACAAAGTGATACAAAGCCAATATAGACATATGATCACAGTAAAACAAAACAACTATCAAGAGACACAAAACAATAAAAAGTCACACAAAATTACTACATTTTGACACAGAACAACTAAAAAAGGACACAAGATTAACAGAAAAACAAATTCAAAGACCACAAGGAGACATACAACAACAACAACAACAACAACAACAACAACAACAACAACAACAACAACTAAGAGACACACAATGATCACAAAGTGACATTGAACAACTCCAAAGACACATGAAATTACCAAAGAAAAACACAAACAGACACAGAGTGAACACTGTGGGTTCAAATAAGGTAAATATAACCGAGCGGGGGCGTCTCAGAAGACAGAAGAGCAGAAGAAAATGAACTCTGACGTAGAATGCTTTATTTGATGCCTTTTTAAAGAAATTGAACAGGATTTGTCAAGCGTACTTAAAACAGACCAAATAGAGTAATTGCATTTTCAGAAGAGAAAACAACTCTTTCTGTCTCTTCTTCTTTCCTTGGCCTTACTACATATGACTTTCAAGGATAAAGACAACCAAATATCTAAAATATGTTTTTCGGTTAATAATGAATTGGTGGTCTCAGCAGAACTTGTGTACTTTGAACCTCAGTTGCCATCATGTGACAGATCTGCACCTGCAGTGAGTCTCCAGCTCCCCCTGCTGGCGAGGAGCAGCAGGAGCACATGATACATCTGGCATTAGGCCCTCAGTGCTGTCTTACAGGGACATAATTGGCTACAGCTGACCAGAAGCCACATTGGTCACGCAATACTCAGCTGAAGTCTGATGCCTAGAAACACTTTCCATTCCTAGTCAGGTTTTGATTTATGATCCCGTGATCACACTGGAGAGCTGAGCTAATGAAGTCCAGATGAATAATGAAAAAAGGATGTTCATACTGATACGAAACCCTATAACACCATTGCATGAATCAGTGGGTCCAACTTTCAAATGGGCGGGTGTAGACTCAAGCTGGTTGTGTTTAAAAATAAATGCTATTGTTATCTGTTTTAATTATTGTAAAATATGTAGTTGAATACAGTTGCTAATCAAAATGTTGGTAAGTATAGTTACGTCACTTTGGATACAAATATTAAATATAGAATAAATAGTTCATTCTGTTTCTCTGCTATAATATTAATTCCAGTTATATTTAAGGACTTCTAACAGTTTGACAGTGTTGCATTGATGTTCTGTCTGGTTTAACTGGATGGTTTCAGGATTTTCCATAAGGATTTCTGCATTTTTCATGTTATACTTAAGCCCTCAACATTGTCTAACAGGAAAATATAGTCTTTGTCTACAACTAACCATTAGGCACACTGGTCAAGCCATACTCAGCCCAAGTCTGATACCAAGACACACTTTGTATTGAATAATACTTTAAATAAGTAATTCAAATAGCTTTAATACTGTACATTTCTAACAGGGTAAGTCATAATCTCTATCCTAATACATGTTATATGGCTCTTGGTGTAGCAGTATTGATGGTTAAAAGTGGACTAAATAAGATAATGTCCTGCTTGTGAAACTATAATTGTTATGTTATATGTTAGTGTGGTTAAGTTAAACAAAGTGTTTGGTGGTGCAGTGCATTGACAATACAGATCCAGCCAGATGATATTTAGATTGCTGAAGCTTTAAAAACTCACATCTTGTTACCTGAGTGCTTCAATGCCCAAATAACTGCTGTCTTGTTGGAGCTTGCAAAGCACACTCGCCAGAGTGCTCTGAAACAGGCTACAAGAGTCGAGGGACCGAAGGTAGTGTAATGAGAGGATGCCTCACTCCTAGAAAATGAAGAAAAGGTGGCCGATTTCCTTGATGCTTACATAGTACTTGGTGCAGATCTAGAAGATATACATGGAGGCAAAGGTTATAAAAAATGTGTGAATAGTGCAATTTCCAAAGTCACTCTGTACCTTGTAAATGTACTTAGCACACTTAATTTAATAGTATTTAGTGTTCACATGTTAGTTCTATCATTGTGTGTACAACAACGTCAATTATATATATTTATTGTATAGTCCATCAGATACACTATAGATATAAGCATATATCATTCACTTTAAATATGTATATTTATTACAGTTTTGTGCATTCTACTATTGATAAGTACATATTCACTGTTTATGTTTGTTTTTCTAATGTTTACTTCATATGCAATGCCTTGTTCACTTGCTGCTGTGACGAAGACTTGTCCCAAAGTGGGATCTAATCTAATTTAAAATGTCTATCCCCTCAGGCCCCCCTATGGAAACTGAGCTCCAGATCAACTTTTCTTTTCACACGGAAACAGATGTTGTGGTTGCAGGTGTGCTGTGGTCTTCAAGTGTTGCAGCTTTGCTGGTATGATAAATGATAACTAAAGAAAAAAAATACAATAAGTGTTATGTGGATAAATGTAGTAATACATTCGTTGTTAAAGACTCGAGCCGGGCGTAGAGACAGTGTTCCCCCTGGCCAAGACACACTGGCCAAGGATGCTTTATTTTATTTTTTGTTTGTTGATCAAATACTATATTAGGATAGGAACTTAGATTCTGTAATCCCTAAAGATGATTGGCTTATGTCAAAATGAGAAAATTGAAGGTAAAAATGTGGATCCTCTTGCTCTAAAAAGCTGACGTTCAGGGGCCTTTGGGGTAGCTTTGAGCATGGAAAGAGCATGTTGTTTTTATGATCTCCATACAGCCTATAGACTGAGGCATGTAAATATACTCCATGACCAAAACACATAAGGCAAAAAGTAAACATGAACCCTGAGCCTGCTTTTTGTATTATCAGCTGGTTCCTTTTTCCTTGATACATCAGTGAATCCTCACCATGGTCTCAAACGGTTTCCACTTGTTCTCTCAGGTCATTACCGGGCGCGACGGCTGCTCAATGTGAATCCAATCTGAAGAAGATCTACACCGTGCAAACCGTTCAGGTGAGACCTGGCCCGCAGTGTAAAGAGCTGAGTCATCCTCAGAGGAAAGAGGTTGTGCATCACGACTCGGCTAGGATCACATTAGCTTGAGGAGAAAGCTTCATTGATGGACAGGAAGTACGGTCCACTTGCACTTTGAGTGTTAGGAAAAACGACAACATTTCTTATCTTGAAACTTGAACACGTAGTGAAAGGTTTATTGACGTCTTAAAACATACCAATATATCAGCTTTTCTCCCCCCCCCCCCCCCCCCCCCCCCCCCGTCTCGAACTATTTTAGGTTGCAAATGTGTGAAAATCCTGTTTGACATATCATCATCTGTCAAACTCAATTCACTATGACTCGAGCTGGACGTATAGACAGTGTTCCCCCTGGCCAAGACACTCATGACAATAGGATGCTTTATTTCAGAATAAAGCTGAATGACAGGTATAATAGCATGTCAACAAAGTATAACAGATTTTAAGGCTGATGTTTGAGGCAAATATTGATATTAGGAAGACACTTCATCGGGGGGAATATACAGGGTTCTGGTCTGGGCTTTTGTACCAATACGTTATTTAAATGTTGTTTTTAACCAGGAAGTTCCCAGAGATTAAAATGTATGTGTTTGTGGTTGAGGTAGCACACCATTACTCCAAAGTAACACATATTATAAAGTAAAGCATTTGAAAAGGTACATTTACACCATGTCACATAATCTAATGACAACCCAGACTACATAATACACAATTCAGTTTAGGGTTGCACTCTTCAGTTACACAGTTTAAAGTAATGCGTGGTCTTCCTTGTTGAAGACTATACTGTATGACTTGAGTGCTTTAGCCGGACGTCGAGACAGTGTTCTTCCTGGCCACGACACTCATGACAATAGAAGCTGTTTCACACTGAAAGAAAGTCTGGGGGTAATGTTCAGTATTGAAATAACATCACAAAATGGTGGAAAATGAATGCTTTATTTAAGAATAAAGTTCAATGACAGTATAATAGCATGTCAACAAAGTAACACAGATTTTAAGGCTGAAATTTGAGGCAAATGTTGATATTTAGGAAGCCACTTCTTGGGGAGAATATACAGGGTACTGGTCTGGGCTTTTGTACGATATATATTTCTTTTTTTTAACCAGGAAGTCCTCAGAGATTACAATATATGTGTTTGTGGTTGAGGTAGCGCACCATTACTCCAAAGTAACACATATTATAAAGTAAAGCATTTGAAAAGGTGCATTTACACCATGTCACAGAATCCAATGACAACACATACTACATAATACAAAATCCAGTTTAGGGTTGCACTCTTCAGTTACACAGTTTAAAGTAATGCGTGGCATTGCAAGTGTGGTAACCTCAATGAGTGACAGTAACTTACATTTTAAAGCCACAGTTGCAAACATAAAAAAAAAACGTTTCCCCCTTCATCGTCACTTCCATACACCGATCTTTTTAATGACAGCTGTTTATAAGCTATTTCCTTTCTTGGAATCAAATACATGTGTATTTCTTACACTGCAATGTTGCTTTCATTCTTGTATTTTATACCTGACTTGTTCTATTTTAGCTTGCTTTATTTTCATTTAATTTTCTCTGCCTTGTATGACTGGTTTTAAAATGTATTTAAAAGTAATTGTATAAAGTCTTTCTGTGACATTATATCGAAATGCTTTTAATGTTTATTTGATTTTTTGGTAAAGCACTTCGAATTGACTTGTGTT